AAATCACCTTCGATCATTTCCAAGTACCTTAACATAACAATCACTAGTACTTCAAGAAATAGGTAAGGTAAATGATCCAAAGAAATGTGCGCTCCGTAAACGCTAGATCGTGCACACTTCCCGATCAAGCACCTGTGCGGCAGCGCTTTAGTTAATGTTGGGGGCTGGGTGTAGCACCCGAGAAAGAAGCGACAAATAGCCTATTTCTGGCTAACCGTCACCACAAAACCCCGTAGAAATGAACTTCGAAGTGAGAACGTACCAGTCAATCAGAGAATCCTGCCGTACCCCTTCATAGTCTTCCTCATCCACCGCTTCCTCATCGGAGCGCATATGGAGTACCAGCATGTCGGCAAGGTGTTTGTATTTTTCGAATGTGATCTTCAGCTTAGCATGATCAACCTTGAATATGAATGAATAAAGAAGTAGAAAGCAGGAAATAAAGTCTCTTCGCTAATCGAACTGCGACGTAAAACTGCGTACCCGATTGGTGCAATTATTCGTGGGTTCAATATACACATACATGGGGGGATTAAGCCACTTCTCTATATTGAATCTATCAGGCCAGATTCTATAGAACACCTCTAACTATTAACACCTTCTTTCTCACGGGAAGTTTTCTTCCTATCCGCATAATTCTGATTACTTTTATTTTATTGATTTTGCATCGAAATGCATTCTTAGATACGAACTACAACCTCACCTTTGCCCGCTTTTCTTCGGCATCTCCTGTTTCCATAGTGGCTTCTGCATTTTCCTTATCTTCGTCTACTTCCATTATTGTATCAGTATCAAAATCGTCATCGAGAGCAATATCCGGTTGTTCAACTCTGAAAGCAATCGTTGAAGACTTGCTCAAAACGATCGACTGAGGGACGAATAACATGAATAACATGATAGCATAATCAGTTTGTGGAAATGTCATAAGAAAAACATTGAGCACGCAAAGAAATTGTTTTGTACTTGTGGAATTGGAACTAAAAATAAAACCTAATACCTTCTAATATTAAAGCTTTAAAAAAACTAAGTCTAACTGGTTTATTCCCTGCACGAAATAAAGATATTGACGCTAATGAAATATAAGAAAAATAAGTCACCTCACTATCGACTTGCTCAGCAGTTTCGTAGCTTGATTCACATGTTCCACACTGACCTGCAAAAGTTCTGGTTGTACTTTGTAGAGAACGAAAATCAGAGTGAACTCACCTGCGCAGCACAATGCAAACGAGCCAAAGCTTCTGAGAGCCGTATGAGGGATTCAAGCTGACGCACAGTGATTCTCCACGATGACGTTGCTGCATTGTTACTGTCATTCATGCGAAGACGCTTATATGACGTAACCAATGCCTCGGCTGCTTCAGGGCTAATCTTTAAAAAAATACTCAACAACCAGATACTAACTTTTTCAGGTTTCCACATGAAACATTCATCAACGTTGATATGACAATAATGATAACGTTGTCAGAAATAAGTAAAATAGAGCAAACCTGAGGTTTGAAGCACTTCGCGAATGTTATATATTTCTGAATATCCTCAAGAGAATACTTTGTCTCGCGCGGGCAATGATTAGAAATAGCGCGATGGTTATCGAGAATACGACGAGCTACAGCGTAATCGACTACCTAAACAACAATTTTAAAAGCCATAGTTTAGGAACAAAACAAGAACTTGGATTGCGACTGAAATACCTCGTTACACTCATCGATCAGAACGAAAAACAGATCGAATCTGCTCATAATCGGTGCTGATAGTTGAACGTTGTGCTTCAAAGGACGTGAGCGATCGTATCTGCCTCCTACTGGATTTGCGGCAGCCAGAATAGAAGCTCGCGCATTGAGTGTCGCTTTCACACCGGCCTCAAATTAGGTGATTAAATACATGACAAAATTTTCTGGCTGAACGACTCAGTAACATACTTTAGTTATGCTGATAGTTTGCTGTTCCATAGCCTCGTGAATAGCCACCTGATCTTTCAGGTCCATCTTATCGAACTCATCAATACAGCAAACCCCATTGTCAGCCAACATCAAAGCACCTGCTTCGATCACAAACTCGAACGATTCTTCATCCTACAAAACGTCCGAGAGGTACAAAGGTACAAAAAATGTAAACTATGAATGTGGAAGTTGTAACCTACTTTGACAACAGCAGCTGTCAAACCAGCAGCAGAAGAAGCTTTGCCTGATGTGTAAATGGCGCGTGGACAAAACTCTTCGACTGTCCTAAATACACTAGATTTTTTTTCACTCGACCAAACACATTTTTCTCGATTGACCACGAATCACCGCCGGTGCCACGCTTGTCAACTCGTACTAAGCCATTGCCAATATTTGATATTAGCAAATGAACTTATACATAAGTAGAGCTAAGTGTTGTCACATTGATGCACCTCTCTTTACAAAATGCTCCTCCATCGAAACACATCGCCATCTTCTGAATATGACGGCCCACAAGTTTCTATTTGACAACTTAACTTTCATCTGATAACTGTATAAGATTCTGAGCCCCCTGCAAACGGAACCTATAGGTTGTTATCCCGCTCGATCCAGCGTGACAGAGCGAGCTGTTTCAAATCCTCACTTGGATGTGTATTGTGTTCGAAAAAAAGTTGACCCAAATTGCCTACAGAATGGAAGAGAAGAGTAAAGTAGATCGTGGAATAATATAAGAAGGTGAAGCGTAACCGTTCTGCTCTTTCTAGTCGGATTAGACTCTAG